TCCCCGGACTGCCATGACTGCTCATATATGACGGATAGTGGCTTAGCTACTTTATCCACCAGTTCCCTCAGGCATCTCATCAGGTCCCATGGACTCCTGCACCTTCAGCTTCCTTAGATGGTCTCAAACCTGATCTCCTACAGTGGGTGGTTCTTCATCCTCCCAGTCCCTGCCTTTGCCTTCTGCGACTTGGGTTGTGTGGCTGGGGCACTTGCTGGTGAAACTTTTCCCTTGCTGACTCCTGAAACCAGCAGGATTATGACAGGATGTTCAAAACTATTCAGCCATTGGCAGAAGTCTGAGGGAGACCATCCGCCATAAAACTGTCAATCCAAATAACTAGCACAAGCAACTCATAAACAATGAAAACATTGTAGCGTAATGGAAGGTGCTGAACAACCCAAACTACAGGTGTGACAACAGGCTCTGCCTTTGTTATGGTCTACTGTCACAGTAACAAAGTGCACCAAACTGCAGCTAGAACACCAGAAAAAAAAAAAAAAAAAAAAATGTAGCCTCCAAATGTAAAACAATATTTTCAAGGGCTTTTGGTAACAGTGTTTGTGGGAGTGGAGCCATGAGCTGGTATGGAACAGGACTGTGCTGAATCAGAGGGAATATCTGTCAGAGGCAAAACCGTGTCACAGAGGACTCCACCACAGGAAAGTGCTGGAAGAACAGATTTACAAGTAAATACGAATTAGCTAAATATGTACAGCATATCAGAGTGATAATTAAATAGACATAATAAACTACAAATAAAAGCAATAACCACATGCTTTAGAGGCTAGTATGTGAAGATAAACCAAAGAATAATGAAATAAAAAGAAAAATTAGAGAATCTCAAGAAAGTTGTCTTGACATTGAGATATTAGCTTGTGGAACAGTTTGCTCAACAGAGGGACTGAAGTTGCATTGTCTGAAAGCTTTGCAATAGACCTTAAGAAAAAGATTAGGAAAGATTAGATGGTGAGCACTCTGCCATTGACACAAAAAGATAGAGCAGATGAGCTAATACATCTTCAGGCTTTTGATTTTTTTAAGGCTGTTATTCACACACAAGCATGCTCTATTTCTCAATAATTATGTGAAGTAGATATTAAAGATTACACGTGCCCTTGATCTGGGGAAGAAACTCTAGTTATTATTGATGGAAGTTCAGAATATAGCCTTGGCGCAGTTACACAGCCCCAAGTATGATAAATGTGAACAGATAAAATTAAAACAACCCAAAAAAAGAACCACAATGCCCCAAGGCATTACTTTAGGTAAGGTTTACCCATTACTCTATTTACCCATTACTATAATATAGAAGTAATAGTTGGCAACATATAACAAGAATGTGAGTATTAAAGCACCCAGCTATGCACTGACTAAGTTTCAGATGTTTCATTACCTAGTGAAATTTATAGCCCCAAGTAAGGTATCTACACTTTCTCCACATGTAGAGAACCAAATATGCTTGAAATCCAGCAATAAGCCAGGAAAAAAATTAGTTAAGGCAAAAGTAAGTGATAGGTGAGAGAAAGATTAAGTCTGCATTTTCCAAATGACCTGAGTCCCTAATGATAGATGACAAGGAGATGCCTTATTTCATCTAGATCACATCCGTAAATCCTCTCCTTTCTCACAAAACAGAGCCAGAATTGCTGGTGAACTCTTTAACCAAGAAGAAGGCATGGATGGCAACACTTCTGGTGCCATGGATATTTAATTACTACAAGGAAAGTCATACAACTACAAAAATACGACTGAAAAAAAACCCAAGGAGTAATTTTATCTCCTTTTAAGTACATCATTCCAGTGGAAGATAAGACTTCACATAGCTCTGGGCAGAGGAATAAATTACCATTTTAACAGGATTTGAGTCATTTAACTACTGTTTTATTCAGTAAAATGGGAACAGCACTGCTTTTTTTTTTTTTTTTTCTTTTTCAGAAAAAGCAAGCTCCTAAAACCTAGTTGATCAGACCCCACTGCTCAAACAGGGAGAGGAATGCCTAGCCTGCAGCCATGCATGGGGTCCATGATTTGAGACAGCAGTCCCACTCTTTAAGGGCAGAAGCACGTTTGGGCCCTGCAGCTGGGTTAACATTGATGTGCCTTGGGAACTGTGTTCTGACAGAAGCACGGGTACCAGGGAATTTGTGGGACCTCCACACAGGCACTAGCTAAGCAGGTACTCTGGAATTCTCAGCTCTGGACTTCAGAGTTCACACCTCACTAATAACATAATAATGTTCCAGTCTTGAAATGTCTGGAGTGCAGGCTTGATGTAAATATGGAACACCTGTATTACTGAGCTCTCTGTGTTTATGATTGCCATCATGGGTACACAGACCCTAAGAAAACACAGGATACCAGCCTGATCTCCCTTTCTGAAATAAATATATCTGCTTAGGGAAACATGTTCAATGCTTTGTACAACCAGAATGACATAATCGTGTCATATTCAGGAAAAGAGAGAAGCACAAGAGTATGTCATTAGATTTTTTTCCTTCTTCAGATATATACATATGCAATATACATGTCCCTCCGAACACACAAGTACTTCACTTAATGAAAAGGAGGAAACAAAAAAAAAAAGGGCTACAGGACCACCGCACATCCTCTTTCAACTCACTAAACCAAAGAAAGACGAAACTTGGTCCTATGTTGGCTCCTAAACCAACAAAAAGCTTGAGGCAGAGACTTGCGTGTATATAACTTTTCCTTAAAGTAAGCTTTGCAGGACTTCCAACAGGGCTTTGAGTGTCCTATCACTTCTATTTCAGTACAAAATGCCTAAAACATGCTACATAAGACAGCATAAACAAAAAGGGCTGGTAAAGAACTATAATAAGGAGAACACTCCCCTTCCCTGGTCTACTCCAGTTTTCTGGGACACAGCTTGTCCTTCAGTCTTGTTCTCAACCCAGGAGCCTTTCATGGGCCTCCTGCAGGGCACCAATTCTCATGTAGAGCCAGGTCCCTTGGAAAAGTCCTTCCATTGTCTCCAAGCCACAGCTCTACACCTGCATCCTGTGGTCACCTCCCTGACGTGACCGCATGCGTGGTCCCTCTGGCAGCCAGAAATGTCCCCATCTGCAAATGGATGCTGCCTTTCACGGGAGGTATAATCCCTCTGTCTGCTGCACAAATAACATCTCCATGATCCTGAGCATAGCAGTCAAGAAAGGCAACTGGCAGCCTTTCTCCCTCCTTTAATAGCCCAGCTTTTCAAAGGAACATATATTAAACAAGCTGAAAGCAAAACAAGCTAAAAAAAAAGCCAAATGCATCTGTGTCATTTCAAAAAGCTCATGACACTGGTTCAGAGTCTATCTGACATAAAATACAAAAACTGTATTGAATTACTGGAACCACATTTGTATCAAAGGGAAGATATAACTAATTAGATGAAATTAACATCGTCTAATAGCATATGTTTCACAACCCAGAAGTAGTTTTAGATAACCTATAGAAAAAGTTGTATGCTGAACTTTAAATTCCTTAACTACCACAATATAATCTAAAACCAAGTGATAATTTCTAAGTTATTTTCCTTGTTTGACTGAGCAACTGTTAGCTGCATAACACTTTCACCTAGTAGAATATTTACATTTATTATGGTTTCCTGATCCAGCACCACCTTTAAATAGCCACTTTTCCAACTAGTCTTAATTCTCAGTTCATCCAAACCAGTTTTATTTCTGAACCCACAGAGATACTGTTTACTCAGTTACAATACAGCTTTAAAAAAAACCCAACTTAAATTTATCCAGTTTCAAGCTTTAAATATATTAAACCAGCAGCTATATTGCACATTATTAGATACCTGTTTTCTATATAAACCATTTCTTACTGTTTCATTTCACAATTCAGAACCTGTATAATGACACTTAAATGTCAATATAATTCCTTGAGAGTCTCATCTAGTCCTAACAGTTTAGTACAAGAAGTCAGAGACACTTCTGATAAACAGTGTGCATAGAAAGTCATTGCTGAGAGAGGTAATTAATTTGGATTCCTACTTACAGTCATTTTTCCTTCCCATTTTTCCACAACCTCCCACAAGCATTTTTCTCCAATTAAATCAAATTAACTGATTCTTCATACCTGTATGTTTTGTAAAAGAGACATCTCTTCAGGGGGACCTTAATCACGTGTTCCTGAAGGCCCACAAAAAGGACACTCTGGCTGTGCAGGATCTGAAGGCTCCTGATGGGCTCCCGCTGACTTTTCGGCAGGAGTTCAATTTCCTCGAGCAGGCAGCTGCTTGAAGTCTGGTTCATTGGGGCAAGTACTTTCTTAATAGTGCCATAGTCTGCAAAGGCAAGAGGAAAATGAGTTGCTAAAAATCACACTAGCAATTCTACCTGCTTGGTGTCACTCAGTGAACAAATCTTCATCCCATGGTAGATGTGTTCAATGAAGCCTCAGAATGGGGAGTTTCCTAAATTGCTTACAGTAGAGTAAAAAGAACTTGAAAACAGCCAATAAAATTTTCTATGCAATGTAACACAGTAGAAAATATTTTTTTTTAGTGTAGAACAGACTTCACAGCAGTAGTCGCTAAAAAACAAACTTTCAAAATTAGACTATTATAAATGCATATTCACAGCAGGGATTACTGATTTCAGTTTACTGGATTGTACTACACTTTATGTTTAAAGCAGTTTAAAAAGCAATAAAGTCCATCATTGCCCCAGTATGTTTTAAAATTCTGTGTGTTAAAATATGAGTTTTAGATATGTATCGTATTCATTTATGCATGAATATCTGCAGGTTGTAATTGAGTCTAGGTGAATATAACAATAAAAGAAGGCTGTGGCCCTTCTACTTACTTATCTGAATTTTGACCTCTGAAAAATCGTATCTTTTAGCATTTGCTCTTCAATTCTATTCTTCCCGTGATTTCTAAGCAAAGGCAGTTAAGCATCACAAACCAGTGTCAGACAACAGATGAGATTTCTGATTCACTCATGAAAAGTTTTTAAATAATTTAAAAATATCAAAGAACATTTGTTCTGAATACAAAGGACCACATTCTCGCACTGATAAATATTTTAGGTAGCTGTCTGACCAAAAATGCATTATGCAATCTTCTATGTGCCAGCAATAGTAAATATTAAAGATCCAACATTGCAAACACGAACTGAGATCAGCTCTTACTCATGTGAAGTCTTGAAAGACAGTACCATCTCTTGCAAGTCAGTAACAACTGCAAGACAAATGTTTGGGATGCTCTGTTCTGCAGCCCAGTAAATATGGTTTTTTCCATCTCTAGCAGAAGGCCAGGGGCTTGGTGGCCAGCTGGCAGTGTAGGGTCTCAGGATGTGTCTGGCCTTGCCTTGGCGGGAGCTGGTTTTAGCTGTGGCAACGATCACCCAGTGGCCACATGCCTGTGCCCTCCCTATGTTGGCTCCGCTCTGGGAGCACCTGGGGTGGGGGGCTGGCACCCCTGCCTAGTCACTGCAGCCCCTCCGGGGTAACGGGGCTGGGGGAGGGCAGCGTGCGGCCCCCAGACTTTGCCTGGGAAAAAAGTAGCCTCAAGCAGACTCCACAACTGAAGAACAGGCGGAGAACCCAAGATGCTAATTACTGTTAAAGTCTTCTCTCCCTTCCTGAGGGATACTGAACACTCAGTCTTAAGACCTGGAGAACTACTGGAAGGGGAAGTATAACACCAAATAACAGGGTGAGTTAGTAGGAAGTTCATGTGTAAGATTTTAACCGCATTATTAACAAAACTTTAATAATTAGATATTATGGACTTAATTTTATTAGACAGTCAAAACTAATTAGACAAACCATAAATGCTTAGCTCAGTATATAAAGTGCATTCCCCTTTGCCCATAACAAGATTTTGAGTGTAACAGATCATGTCTGCATGTTAAAGTTTTCTGACTGACCTCTCAATTCTTAATCTAGTCACTTCATATAACCGTTTACATTTTCCTCCTTTCTTAGTATAAACAACCTTGTCAGGGTTTACTGTAGCTAAGAGTATTTGTTAGAAAAAAACCTTTCATTGAATGGCAGTTTTAATTTGCATTAAAATTTAACCTTTTTGATATTAAAAAAAAAATTCTAATTTGACTATCACTTTTTTCCCAAACAACTTAAGGTAGAGTTATATTCAAAAATGAATTAAATCTTTGCCAAGAGTCAGTTTTCTCTCACAACTAAGTGATAATCAGCTCAGCTGAAGAACATACCAAGCAGTGTTTCCTGGTTTTTGCTGGATGCAAAATCTCAACTATAATTACAGCAAGTTTCAGGATCAAAACATGGTCTGAGAAGTGCCCAGGAAAAAATCACTTGCTGTGTTAGTCACCTAGTGAAAAAATAAATTATTTTTTGGAGCACAGAAGTTGAAAAAATGTACTAAGAAGAAGAAAAGAAGAAGCTAGGAGATCATTTTACAGACGTAAATGAATTGGTATCACTTTACAGATCAGTTAGTACAGCTCTATATCACTTGTCTAACTGGCAGCCAATAGATTCAGCATGATCCATGACACACTACACTTGGTTTGCCACCTTTATCCTGCAGGAAACAAAAATAATGTATACATTCAGTATGTGCTTCTCGTACAGACTAATATTTCTTCCTGCCACTGTGCCAGGTCTGGAACCTACAGACTAAGTCATTTGCTGTCACATTCCCCAAGATAAAAGAGAAAAAAAAAAACATGACTGGAGGCCTCCTTCCCCCATGCCTACATACACATTTAATTTAGAAGTGCAGCTTTGGACAAGAGAATACGATCAAAACCAAGTATTTTGTGTTTCTTTTCTCCTCAGTAAATTTATTTATTGTAGAGGGTAGAATTACAATTATTTTATGTTCAGGTCTATGACCTGGAGAATACCATTACAGCAGCATACAACCCTAGAATGAAATAAAATATTCTCACTTTGAGAACTGCAGCACTAATGCCTTACCCAGGGCAGCTGTCATTGCTCTTGTTCTTCCTTCTCATCTTGGCATACAGTCTCTGTTTACCCCATTTCCTTTTGCTTTCTTTCAGCATCTCCCAAACGATTCCTTTCCTATTTGTTGTCTAAGAGGATCAGCACTCATACAGAAATGTCGAAAGTCATAAATGACTGGGCTTTAAGTGACGGAGCAGTGCCAGAGATCCCACAGATTATCAGGAAGAAACATTACTCTTCACAGCAGCCATGTGGGTCATATGCAAGTTCGGTAAAAAAGAATAAAATGTTATCTGAGATCTGCCTCTGTCTCAGTAAACTCTTCTATTTCTGACCTTCTATGTCTTCTCTGCTTTAAATTCCTCTTGCCTATGACTCTGATTTTGCATGGACCACCTGGGAGCCCAAACTAGGGTGAGGATCTGGTTTTATCCTGCAACATTGAGACAGACACTGATTGAATTGGCGGCTATTTTCATCAGACTATGGTACATAGCAAGGGTAGCTATGAACCTCGTCAGACTATACTAGCATGTAATACCGGCTATACCAGGCTTCCTTGCAGTGGAAAATCATAGCCATTGCATCAGTACTTTCAAAAGGCAGGTGTGCAACATTACGCACCCAGCCTCCAACAAAGAATGCACATTTCCTAAAGAACTTGTAAAAGTCCCATCCTCAAAAGTGCTGTCTGTTCAGCCATTTTAACACCATAGTTGTAAAGCAAAACAAAGAGAGAAGCAGGGAAAGAAATGAGTCTTGAATATGGCTCTGGGGTATGGAGGTTTTCAGGCCTGTCAAAATCTTCCAAGTGAATATTTACTTTATAATCAAACTAACCGTCCACCTCTGCCAAGAAATGGCTAAGAAGAACAGTAAACACAGACCTTCCTAATGGATTGCCATCAACATAGGGAAAGTTCCAGTTTCATCACAAATGTCAAGGCTGTGTCCAACAGCTACTTAAGAATTCTAATGAATGGCATCTTCACATCCTAAGCATCAGCAAGAGACAGAAAATACAAGCTAAAGCTATACTCAGTACTTCAAGTGACACTTGTAATTGAACAGGCTCACTGATGTCCTTAATCTTTGAACATCATGATTAGTTTTTTTTGTTTTAAAGAAAAGTTTAAAATTAACGGATAGATATTTGGGAGAATACATTTTAAAGTGTAGTTGGAATGGATACAATTGATATATGCTTTCAAGGAGTGCAATCTGAAATAGACTTTGGAAAATTATATTCGTTAACTATTCTGACTTTGTCCATTATACATTGGTTTTGCATATTATTTGTTGTATATACATTATTCTTTCAGTGGGAAAATAAAAGCATTCAGACAGTATTAAGACTCTTGAAAGAAAAAATCTGTTAATGAATATTACCCATATGTGTATATAAACAGTGTTTACATTCATCATACAGCATTTCTATTAAACACCATAGAAACAGAAAAAATAGGGTATTAGGGTTGTCTTCAAGGCAGAGGTCTTTCAGAAAAATAAATTGAAATACCAAACATAAATTGATGCACAGAATGTATAATGGTACAAAATCAAAGAAAGTGCAAGGTGATTGATAAACATCCTGTCACTGTGAAAAAACGTATCATCAATATTTGCTTTCCTCCACCACAGGAACCGAAAGAAAGCCCTACTGCAAAACAGAACGTGCATTTGGTTAATGGCAGAAAATTATTCCAATGACAGAAAGTATTAGGTTGTATAAGGGCTTAAGTGCGCTCAACACGGAAAAAAGACACAGGAACAACTAATGCAGCTGCTGGTTGAGCCTACAAAGGGAAAACCCAGGACTTATGATTTAGCAATCTGTGTAACATCAAAAAATATGCATATGGTACACAAAACATGAGAGGATTTAAAAACCTGTTCTTTTTTGCCTTTCCTAAAAATAACTTGAAAATTAGTTAAATCATCAGTAGAATATGGATAATTAAAGCCTTTGCTATAATCTGTTTTCCCATATGGGAGTGGAGTACAATTTGGTTTAAAGGAAGGACTTATTTAGAAGATAAGATAATATAACTATTCTCTGTAACTTAATTTATCTTTTACCTCCAGGTTTCTGAGATATGTATTTATACTTGATTTACAGGAATAGGTTTTTAATCTCACTACAGACTAAAGGACTAGTGACAGATTGAGCTTCAACCCTTTTGCTTTAAAAACTAAAAATGTATTATGAGTAAACGTAGTACTTCTACAATGATACCGAAAACAAAAAGAATAGTTTGATTTTAAAATTTCCATCTTAATTTACAGAGATTTACTTTAAATATTTTCATATTTTTAAATGTACATTCATTACTTCTTTGGGAAAAAAGTGAACCTCAAAATGAATATGGAATTCCGATGCTTTAT